ATAATATAAAATTATAAATGATACATGTTAAAACTTACTTCAGTTACGCTATCACCAGTCTTTTCAGTATCATCAGAAGCAATTGGTGTAACAGTAATTGAAGCAACATTTGTTACAGGAACAGTTACACTTCCAATTTCAACTTCACTGTTAGATGTTGGTGTCAGATTTATTACAATTTCTGGGATCTGTCCAGCAGGGAAAGATGCACCACCATCTCTAATTTGAGTTACGTCAACACTAGGTGATGTAGGTGAAGTGATACTTGAATCAGGTATTATTTGTGCATCTTTCATACCATCTGTTTCAGTACATTCTGTCAAATACAATTATGAAATGTTAATGGGGCAGTATGGCAAAATATCATGATGATATTGAACTATATGTTCTAAGTGTAGTGTACATATCAAATTTATATTTATTATGAAAATAATTTACCTGATGTTCCAGGTGTTGTAGGTAATAATGGTGATGTTCCTGGTTGTCCTTCTGTTGCTGATGTTTCAGATGGTCCTTGTGTTGTGCCAACAGTTTCTATCAATAGATAAAGAATATGAAATGGCAGAACTGAAAAATGGGTTACCAGTAAAACATGAATTCATGCATTATCATCTTTGAACAAGATATTCATATATTTGCATTTAAATGTGATCAAAACAATATTTTGAAGTAAATCTTCAAGTGGACATAAATAAAACTTTCTTCAGTAAATTGAAACTAAGTCAATATGAATCGATCATTTCAGTAAAAATATTCACAAAATATTACCTTCAAAACAGGCATGGATTTTCAATTTAATTTCAACTGGATTGTCTGGATTATCAGGTATAACAAGTATTTTGATTTTGGATGTATCAACTCCATCAGGTAATACTTTCTTTGTTAATGTCTAAAACACAGTTCAGAGAATTAATAACTCATCACCAACAAGATAAAAACATAACAACAACAACAATAAAAAAGATAGCTTGGGACGCCCACTGGCAGCTGTCAGAAATGATAAAACAGTCTTTAGTGACTATAGTACGAATTTTCTCATATTGAAGAAATTATTTATGCTGAATAATTCCACAAAATTTTTTAAAATCAATATCAATAACCCAAATACAACAAACAATTAAATCACACAGCTCTAATCAAGGGCAAAAAACAACCTTTGACGCGTGTTTACAAAGTCAAGGGCAATAACTCAAAAAATAATCATCAAAAATATCTCTTGTTAGAACTTGTCTGAGATCTTATCAATTCCAATGATCACACCAAGTTTCATCAAAATCGGTTGAAAACTATAGCTTCAATTGTGCTCACGAACAAATTTTGACGTGTTTTTACAAAGTCAAGGGCAATAACTCAAAAACCGCTCATCAAAATGCATCAAGTTAGAACTTGTCCGATCACACCAAGTTTCATCAGAATCGGTTGAAAACTGTAGCGTCAATCCAAACTATTTTTAACAAATTTCGACGCATTTTAACAAAGTCAAGGGCAATAACTCAAAAACCGTTCATCGAAGGTGCGTCAAGTTAGAACTTGTCTGAGATCTTATCAATTCCAATGATCACACTAAGTTTCATCAGAATAGGTTAAAAACTGTAGCTTCAATCCTGCTAACGAACTGTTTTTAACAAATTTTGACGCGTTTTTACAAAGTCAAGGGCAATAACTCAAAAACCGTTCATCGAAAATGCGTCAAATTAGAACTTGTCCGAGATCTTAACAATTCCAATGATCACACCAAGTTTCATCAGAATCAGTTGAAAACTGTAGCTTCAATCCTGCTCACGAACTATTTGTAACAAATTTCAAGACGTTCTAAGTCAAGGGCAAAAACGGTTCATCGAAAATATGTCCGAGATCTTATCAATTCCAATGACCACATAGAGTTTCATCAGAATCGGTTGAAAACTGTAGCGTCAATCCTGCTCACAAACTATTTTTAACAAATTTCGACCATTTTAACAAAGTCAAGGGAATAAATTCAAAAACAGTTCATCGAAAATGCGACAAGTTAGAACTTGTCCGAGATCTTGTCAATTCCAATGATCACACCAAGTTTCATCAGAATCAGTTGAAAACTGTAGCTTCAATCCTGCTCACGAACTATTTGTAACAAATTTCAAGATGTTCTAAGTCAAGGGCAAAAATGGTTCATCGAAAATATGTCAAATTCGAACTTGACCAAGATCTTATCAATCTAAAACATCACACCAAGTTTTATCAAAATCAGATAAAAACTGTAGTCTCTATAGTGCTCACAAGAAATGTTGACGGACGGACTGACGGACGGACCGACCGACAGGGGCGATGACAATATACAACCACATATTCATGTGGGCGTATAAAAACGATAATATTTATAAAACAAAACAACTTACAGAGCCAGTTACTTCTTCTATTGGTACATAATCCTTTTGAGTATCATCATATACAAACACTTTTATTGACTTAACATTATCAGTATTAATAGCTTCAACATCACTAAGAGGAACTGGATTACCATCTGGTGACAGGCGGACTGTAATGTTAACTCCCTCACTTGGTACATTAGGAATCTTATAAGGACTTGGTGAAGTTGGTCTTAAGTTCTCAGGATTATCTGATGATGGGGAGTCAGCTGGTTGCTGTAGATAACTAGCAGGAAGTAATTGTGGGTTTTCCATTCCAGCGACCTTAGTACATGGTGCTATAAAAGAAATTAAAGATATGATAGATGTAACACCAATATATAACAATTTAACTTAATATATTCTAAAAAACAATTTTAATTTCAATCATTTGTATTGTTATATTGAATGTTGTTTTTAAAACTTTTGAGTATCCAAAACCAAACATAAGCTTACTTGATGTTGTACCTGTAGCAGCAGTTGTTGAAACACCAGGCCCTGAAAAAAACAGGATAGAAAATAAAATACACAAATTATCCAAATGTAATCTTTTATACAATGAATTTTATAATGATCTGTTTAACCTACATAATTTAGACTTGTTAAACTATTCTTAACTAGCATCTAAATTAATTGTAGGAATCTGCACTAATAAATCTATCATTTTTAAAACCTTACATATGTTCAATATAATAGCTATTGACACAAACTAAATTCCTCAAAATATATTTATAAAACTAGTCAAATGTAGTTTAAATTTTAAGGGATCCTTTGAATAGTCTTCCTTCAAATCTCAAAGTTTAGAACAATCTCAAATCATTTCATAAAAATATTTCAGTGTACATCTCAAAAACAAATAGCTACAGTTTTACATTAAATTTGTATATAAAAATTGATAATTATTACATGTTGGTTTTCTTATGAATTTTATATTTTATGTTGCTGCTTAATTTTGTTTGTATGTATATATAATTGAGTGAAATACAAAAAAGGATATTTCGCCTAAATCTTACCCTAATAAAGTGATTATTATTATCATTATTATCATTATTATCATTATTATTATTATCATTATTATCAAACATACATGGTTCTTTGGATTCAAAATAATCTTTGTTGAAAATATACAAAATTACAACATATGCATTAAGATTTGTTAAATATACTAATCAAGGTTTTAAAATTTAACAAATAACAAAAAACAAATAAAATATACACAGTTTAATAGATTTTTGATGTAGGTAATATCACTGACTTTAAAATTGTTTGGCAACAACAAAGTCTACAGAATGCCATTTGATGCATGAGCAAAACTAAATGGGTATTAATAATAACAAAAATTATCAACTCATTGTTATTTCCTAGAATGAGTAAGTCTGAAAGAGAACAAACATTGAGATGGCTCTATGCTGATAGAAGTTTAATGGTTTAATTTAACATTTCTTCATTGGTCCAGTGAAAAAAAACAAGAAGTAACAAATATCAAATACAAAAAGTACCTGTTGGTGGTAGAGTGGCTGAGGTACCTGTTGGTGGTTGAGTTGCTGATGTACCTGTTGGTGGATGAGTTGCTGATGTACCTGTTGGTGGTAAAGTAGCTGAAGTACCTGTTGGTGGTTGAGTAGCTGAAGTACCTGTTGGTGGTTGAGTTGCTGATGTACCTGTTGGTGGTTGAGTAGCTGATGTACCTGTTGGTGGTAGAGTTGCTGATGTACCTGTTGGAGGTTGAGTAGCTGATGTACCTGTTGGTGGTTGAGTAGCTGAAGTACCTGTTGGTGGTTGAGTAGCTGAAGTACCTGTTGGTGGTTGAGTAGCTGATGTACCTGTTGGTGGTTGAGTTGCTGATGTACCTGTTGGTGGTTGAGTAGCTGACGTACCTGTTTGTGGTTGAGTTGCTGATGTACCTGTTGGTGGTTGAGTTTCTGATGTACCTGTTGGTGGTTGAGTTTCTGATGTACCTGTTGGTGGTTGAGTTGCTGATGTACCTGTTGGTGGTTGAGTAGCTGATGTACCTGTTGGTGGTATAGTAGCTGAAGTACCTGTTGGTGGTAGAGTAGCTGATGTATCTGTTTGTGGTTGAGTTGCTGACGTACCTGTTGGTGGTTGAGTTGCTGACGTACCTCTTGGTGGTTGAGTTGCTGAAGTACCTGTTGTTGGACCTTAAATTTAGATTTAATCATTGTTTGTGTTTAAATAATTCTAATATCAAAGTATTCACAAAATAAATCAAACATTGTGAAACAAAAAGAAAAAAATTTGACAGCATTTTAAACTATTCAAAAAAAGCTTAAAGCCTAGATAGAAAAAGTCCACTTATAAATTATTCAGTTATGCCTATCTTTTTAACTTGAAGGTAGCTTTGTCTTATATTTTATAAAATGTCTTTGATTCTCAATGGAAACCGGGTTTTTTACATAATCTTATACATCAAAAGGTAAGACTCAAAGTGCTTACAAATGAGCAGTGAAAACACTACCTGGCTTTTCAATGAAAGCATGATTGCAGTTTTATCTCTATTTCTTACATTATTCAATAATTGTTTTTTCTCATTTTATTGTCACAATACCAAACAAATAATTTGTAATAGCATAAGACAATAAAAACATTAACAGAAAATTCTTTTATTTTAGGAATTATAGTAATAGTAATTTACTTTTTCATTTATTTCTCTATTTTTCATAATCAGAGAGGACTAATATTTCTTGGAAAACAATTTTGAATGAAATTTAAATTTTGTCAAGTAAAGTTGAAATGCTATCACAAGATAACCAAAAGGTTTGCTCAATATTTCTTGCTAACAAATTTGAAATTGTTTGCCAACTGTAAATAAAGTGTGCAATGTGCATGTTACTAAGTACACATGAAAATTTCAAAATTGTTCCTAAATTCCATTACATAACGTTTCACAAAATCATGCCTAACTCACCTGTTGTGGTTGGACTAACTGTTCCTTCAAAACAAGCTCGTACATCTAAACTAAATTCAACAGCTTCAGACACATTACTAGGATAAAATATTATCTTTATCTTTTGAGCCTTTTCATCAGGTCTGAAGTCTATTCTCTGATCTCCTGGAGCATTGAGAGCAGGCTATAAAAAAAAAGATTTATTAGATCCTTGGTTTCAAATCTTTTGAACTTCAAGCACAAGCCTATACCTCTTATGAAACTGTAATTAAATTCAAAAACTAAGGAGCTAAAAAATATCAATACAAAGGTAAAATAAGGAAGAATGAGGAACTCAATCTGTCCTGGTTGTCAAAATTTACCAAAAAAAGATTTAACGACACTATGCTTAATTCTTACATGGAAATAACATTATTTTAAAAAATTTGACTGAACTACCCTCGTGTGTGTTATTTTCATGTAAGAATCATATTTAGTTGTGTATAATCTTGTTGAGTCAATATGTTGGAAGAATATTAATGCTGAGAGATTGAGAGTCGGACCTTGGTTGACTATAACATAGTTGATATTTCTTTGACATATACCAAGTAATCCAAAAAACAGAACTTGAAATAACATAAAAATCTGAAAAGTCCCCAAAATTTCAGTTTTCTTGGCAGCTTTGCATATAAGTCATAGATTTTCAAAGTAAAGCTATAAATAATCTTGAAGTGTTGGGAGGGTATGTGCTTATGCTATGCAAGTTTGCTTCATTATTAATAAGACTTACTTAAATTTTCATGTATTTTTTGATTACCCTCTACTATTGAATACGATATATAAATGAATTCATAACCTATTTGACTTTATACATACTTTATCAGTTACAGGGGTTACATCTCCATTAACAGAAATCAATTCTATTTCCACTCTCTTAAGGTTCTGGGTATTCTTGTATTCCACAAATCCTAGACTGATATCTGTGGCTGCCAAGGTAATAGTAATAGGACCATTATTGTTAGCTAATGAGACAAGACCAGTAGGACTTCTTAGAGTAGATTTTTGTGCATTATTTAAACCATCAAGATATGAATCAGGAATGTAGGCAGGTTCTTGCATACCATTAATTTCTTCACAAACTTCTAAAATAAAACACAGATACATGAATGGAATAGAAGGATTATGTAAAGAAGACAATATTTAATACAAATATTGTAACAAACATCATTTAAAAGTAACAGAATTATGCAGCTTTTATTCCATTAATTAAATGGTAAGTATTAGTATAATCAAGTTCACATTGCACATTTTCAAGTAAGTTTATTAAAACTGATTTTCTTCATATTATTACTATAATAAAAATATTTATCTAAATCAATTAAGTTACCAGAAGGTCCAGGTGTTGTAGGTAATAATGGTGATGTTCCTGGTTGTCCTTCTGTTGCTGATGTTTCAGATGGTCCTTGTGTTGTGCCAACAGTTTCTATCAATAGATAAAGAATATGAAATGGCAGAACTGAAAAATGGGTGACCAGTAAAACATGAATTCATGCATTATCATCTTTGAACAAGATATTCATATATTTGCATTTAAATGTGATCAAAACAATATTTTGAAGTAAATCTTCAAGTGGACATAAATAAAACTTTCTTCAGTAAATTGAAACTAAGTCAATATGAATCGATCATTTCAGTAAAAATATTCACAAAATATTACCTTCAAAACAGGCATGGATTTTCAATTTAATTTCAACTGGATTGTCTGGATTATCAGGTATAACAAGAATTTTGATTTTGGATGTATCAACTCCATCAGGTAATACTTTCTTTGTTAATGTCTAAAACACAGTTCAGAGAATTAATAACTCATCACCAACAAGATAAAAACATAACAACAACAACAATATAAAAAACAATAATATTCATAAAACAAAACAACTTACAGAGCCAGTTACTTCTTCTATTGGTACATAATCCTTTTGAGTATCATCATATACAAACACTTTTATTGACTTAACATTATCAGTATTAATAGCTTCAACATCACTAAGAGGAACTGGATTACCATCTGGTGACAGGCGGACTGTAATGTTAACTCCCTCACTTGGTACATTAGGAATCTTATAAGGAGTTGATGAAGTTGGTCTTAAGTTCTCAGGATTATCTGATGATGGGGAGTCAGCTGGTTGCTGTAGATAACTAGCAGGAAGTAATTGTGGGTTTTCCATTCCAGCGACCTTAGTACATGGTGCTATAAAAGAAATTAAAGATATGATAGATGTAACACCAATATATAACAATTTAACTTAATATATTCTAAAAAACAATTTTAATTTCAATCATTTGTATTGTTATATTGAATGTTGTTTTTAAAACTTTTGAGTATCCAAAACCAAACATAAGCTTACTTGATGTTGTACCTGTAGCAGCAGTTGTTGAAACACCAGGCCCTGAAAAAATACAGGATAGAAAATAAAATACACAAATTATCCAAATGTAATCTTTTATACAATGAATTTTATAATGATCTGTTTAACCTACATAATTTAGACTTGTTAAACTATTCTTAACTAGCATCTAAATTAATTGTAGGAATCTGCACTAATAAATCTATCATTTTTAAAACCTTACATATGTTCAATATAATAGCTATTGACACAAACTAAATTCCTCAAAATATATTTATAAAACTAGTCAAATGTAGTTTAAATTTTAAGGGATCCTTTGAATAGTCTTCCTTCAAATCTCAAAGTTTAGAACAATCTCGAACCATTTCATAAAAATATTTCAGTGTACATCTCAAAAACAAATAGCTACAGTTTTACATTAAATTTGTATATAAAAATTGATAGTTATTACATGTTGGTTTTCTTATGAATTTTATATTTTATGTTGCTGCTTAATTTTGTTCGTATGTATATATAATTGAGTGAAATACAAGAAAGGATATTTCGCCTAAATCTTACCCTAATAAAGTGATTATTATTATCATTATTATCATTATTATCATTATTATCATTATTATCATTATAATCATTATTATTATTATTATCATTACTATCATTATTATCATTATTATTATTATCATTACTATCATTATTATCATTATCATTATTATCATTATTATCAAAAATACATGGTTCTTTGGATTCAAAATAATCTTTGTTGAAAATATACAAAATTACAACATATGCATTAAGATTTGTTAAATATACTAATCAAGGTTTTTAAATTTAACAAATAACAAAAAACAAATAAAATATACACAGTTTAATAGATTTTTGATGTAGGTAATATCACTGACTTTAAAATTGTTTGGCAACAACAAAGTCTACAGAATGCCATTTGATGCATGAGCAAAACTAAATGGGTATAAATAATAACAAAAATTATCAACTCATTGTTATTTCCTAGAGTAAGCCTGAAAGAGAACAAACATTGAGATGGCTCTATGCTGATAGAAGTTTAATGGTTTAATTTAACATGTCTTCATTGGTCCAGTGAAAAAAACCAAGTAGTAAGAAATATCAAATACAAAAAGTACCTGTTGGTGGTAGAGTGGCTGAGGTACCTGTTGGTGGTTGAGTTGCTGATGTACCTGTTGGTGGTTGAGTTACTGATGTACCTGTTGGTGGTAGAGTAGCTGAAGTACCTGTTGGTGGTTGAGTAGCTGAAGTACCTGTTGGTGGTTCAGTTGCTGATGTACCTGTTGGTCGTTGAGTAGCTGATGTACCTGTTGATGGTAGAGTTGCTGATGTACCTGTTGGAGGTTGAGTAGCTGATGTACCTGTTGGTGGTTGAGTAGCTGAAGTACCTGTTGGTGGTTGAGTAGCTGACGTACCTGTTGGTGGTTGAGTAGCTGATGTACCTGTTGGTCGTTGAGTAGCTGACGTACCTGTTTGTGGTTGAGTTGCTGATGTACCTGTTGGTGGTTGAGTTTCTGATGTACCTGTTGGTGGTTGAGTTGCTGATGTACCTGTTGGTCGTTGAGTAGCTGATGTACCTGTTGATGGTAGAGTTGCTGATGTACCTGTTGGAGGTTGAGTAGCTGATGTACCTGTTGGTGGTTGAGTAGCTGAAGTACCTGTTGGTGGTTGAGTAGCTGACGTACCTGTTGGTGGTTGAGTAGCTGATGTACCTGTTGGTGGTTGAGTTGCTGATGTACCTGTTGGTGGTTGAGTTGCTGATGTACCTGTTGGTGGTAGAGTAGCTGAAGTACCTGTTGGTCGTTGAGTAGCTGACGTACCTGTTTGTGGTTGAGTTGCTGATGTACCTGTTGGTGGTTGAGTTTCTGATGTACCTGTTGGTGGTTGAGTTGCTGATGTACCTGTTGGTCGTTGAGTAGCTGATGTACCTGTTGGTGGTATAGTAGCTGAAGTACCTGTTGGTGGTAGAGTAGCTGATGTACCTGTTGGTGGTAGAGTAGCTGACGTACCTGTTGGTGGTTGAGTTGCTGACGTACCTGTTGGTGGTTGAGTAGCTGATGTACCTGTTGGTGGTTGAGTTGCTGATGTACCTGTTGGTGGTTGAGTTGCTGATGTACCTGTTGGTGGTAGAGTAGCTGAAGTACCTGTTGGTCGTTGAGTAGCTGACGTACCTGTTTGTGGTTGAGTTGCTGATGTACCTGTTGGTGGTTGAGTTTCTGATGTACCTGTTGGTGGTTGAGTTGCTGATGTACCTGTTGGTGGTTGAGTAGCTGATGTACCTGTTGGTGGTATAGTAGCTGAAGTACCTGTTGGTGGTAGAGTAGCTGATGTACCTGTTGGTGGTAGAGTAGCTGACGTACCTGTTGGTGGTTGAGTTGCTGACGTACCTGTTGGTGGTTGAGTTGCTGAAGTACCTGCTGTTGGACCTTAAATTTAGATTTAATCATTGTTTGTGTTTAAATAATTCTAATATCAAAGTATTCACAAAATAAATCAAACATTGTGAAATAAAAAGAAAAAAATTTGACAGCATTTTAAACTATTCAAAAAAAGCTTAAAGCCTAGATAGAAAAAGTCCACTATAACTTATTCAGTTATGCCTATCTTTTTAACTTGAAGGTAGCTTTGTCTTATATTTTATAAAATGTCTTTGATTCTCAATGGAAACCGGGTTTTTTACATAATCTTATACATCAAAAGGTAAGACTCAAAGTGCTTACAAATGAGCAGTGAAAACACTACCTGGCTTTTCAATGAAAGCATGATTGCAGTTTTATCTCTATTTCTTACATTATTCAATAATTGTTTTTTCTCATTTTATTGTCACAATACCAAACAAATAATTTGTAATAGCATAAGACAATAAAAACATTAACAGAAAATTCTTTTATTTTAGGAATTATAGTAATAGTAATTTACTTTTTCATTTATTTCTCTATTTTTCATAATCAGAGAGGACTAATATTTCTTGGAAAACAATTTTGAATGAAATTTAAATTTTGTCAAGTAAAGTTGAAATGCTATCACAAGATAACCAAAAGGTTTGCTCAATATTTCTTGCTAACAAATTTGAAATTGTTTGCCAACTGTAAATAAAGTGTGCAATGTGCATGTTACTAAGTACACATGAAAATTTCAAAATTGTTCCTAAATTCCATTACATAACGTTTCACAAAATCATGCCTAACTTACCTGTTGTGGTTGGACTAACTGTTCCTTCAAAACAAGCTCGTACATCTAAACTAAATTCAACAGCTTCAGACACATTACTAGGATAAAATATTATCTTTATCTTTTGAGCCTTTTCATCAGGTCTGAAGTCTATTCTCTGATCTCCTGGAGCATTGAGAGCAGGCTATAAAAAAAAAGATTTATTAGATCCTTGGTTTCAAATCTTTTGAACTTCAAGCACAAGCCTATACCTCTTATGAAACTCTAATTAAGTTCAAAAACTAAGGAGATAAAAAATATCAATACAAAGGTAAAATAAGGAAGAATGAGGAACTCAATCTGTCCTGGTTGTCAAAATTTACCAAAAAAAGATTTAACGAAACTATGCTTAATTCTTACATGGAAATAACATTATTTTAAAAAATTTGACTGAACTACCCTCGTGTGTGTTATTTTCATGTAAGAATCATACTTAGTTGTGTATAATCTTGTTGAGTCAATATGTTGGAAGAATATTAATGCTGAGAGATTGAGAGTCGGACCTTGGTTGACTATAACATAGTTGATATTTCTTTGACATATACCAAGTAATCCAAAAAACAGAACTTTAAATAACATAAAAATCTAAAAAGTCCACAAAATTTAAGTTTTCTTGGCAGCTTTGCATATAAGTCATAGATTTTCAAAGTAAAGCTATAAATAATCTTGAAGTGTTGGGAGGGTATGTGCTTATGCTATGCAAGTTTGCTTCATTATTAATAAGACTTACTTAAATTTTCATGTATTTTTTGATTACCCTCTACTATTGAATACGATATATAAATGAATTCATAACCTATTTGACTTTATACATACTTTATCAGTTACAGGGGTTACATCTCCATTAACAGAAATCAATTCTATTTCCACTCTCTTAAGGTTCTGGGTATTCTTGTATTCCACAAATCCTAGACTGATATCTGTTTTTGCCAAGGTAATAGTAATAGGACCATTATTGTTAGCTAATGAGACAAGACCAGTAGGACTTCTTAGAGTAGATTTTTGTGCATTATTTAAACCATCAAGATATGAATCAGGAATGTAGGCAGGTTCTTGCATACCATTAATTTCTTCACAAACTTCTAAAATGAAAACACAAAAGTTTTTATTGCCAATTAACACTAAAATAGGAACACAAAAGAAACAGAGTTTAAATAACCTGCATGGGGAGTAGTTAAAAGTTCAAATTTTCTACCATGCCCTCTATCGTGATAGGACCATGCAGGTTAGAGCGCTTCATGATTGCCTACTGTAGTTCTTTACATATGATACTTTTATTTTGAATGGAAAAGAACTTTTGAATATGTGAGTTCTAGAAATCAATTAACAAGTATTGGTATATCAAATAATTTATTAACAAGTATTGGTATATCAAATAATTTATTAACAAGTATTGATATATCAAATAATCTATTAGCAAGTATTGGTATATCAAATAATTTATGACCAAGTATTGGTATATCAAATAATTTTTTAACAATTGTTATGCTTGATAAAGTTTCCTGTATGTGAATTGAAACGTTGCAAAATCAAATTAAAGGAGTAGTATATCCATAATAGTTGTCCTTGCTGAAAGTATTGGTATATCAAAATAATTTATTAGCAAGTATTGGTATATCAATTAATTTACAATTTTGTAAAATGTACTCACCAGCAGTCACAGTTGTTTCAACTGGTTGACCAGTAGCTACTGGTGCAGCAGTTACTAAAATAAAACAATTGAGTTTATGTGAAGTGGCATATGAGGCTCTCATCACAGTAACAATAATCCCTACTAAACTAAAAAATTTACCAAGAGGATAGTCAGTCTGACCAACATTTGTCTGTTAAACTATTAGCAATCTGAAGATTTACCTTCAAAACAAGCTCTGATATCAACATTAAATTTAGTTTCAACACCATCATCTGTTTGAGTTACAACCACCCTTATAGATTTAGCTCTTGTTCCAGCTGGGAAAGTAACCTTTGGTGGACTTCCACTGGGATCAGACTAAAAGAGATGATACAACATGAGTTTTTATGTTAAAAAACAAACAGTTTTATCAATTCTAGATCTAGAACTTTTTGCAATCATATAACCTGTGTTTTGAAGTCACTATTCTTGGTTAAAAGCAAATATGGTTAAATCAACAGCCCTGATCCAGGGCATCAACAAAGCACATCAAAGTGAATAATTTTGTCTTATTGCAGCATTAAATTGAAGCAAGTTGTCACCTAGCAAGATACGCCCTATTACCTTTATTTTACTAAAACTTTCAGTATATCAAGGGCCGTTGTCAAAATATGTCACACTATACCAAAAATCTCATTTGTCGAAGATATTGTTGATTTAAACCTACACACAAAATTTCATAAAATTCTGAAATAAACTCAATCACATTTTCAAGCCACATTTAAATCGGATGGAAACTGTGGCCTTGAGTTCACAAGCAACATGTAAGTTAATTTCAGTGTATCAAGGGTTGAAACTCCCTCATCAATTGTTGAATTCCTACCAAAATTAAAACTTGTTCAAGATTTCATTTATAAAACCCTATAAACCCAATTTATTAAAAACATATAAAATCCGCCGCCTCTTTTGTGTTCACAAGCTACAATTAACAAAATTTCATTGCAGTCAAACTTTATCGAATCGTACACAAATTTGAACTTGTCCACGATATCATGGATATATAAACCGGCACAACAAATTCAAAATTGACCAAGATCTCATTGTTACAGATGATCACACCAAGTTTCATTAAAATCAGTTAAATAAAAACTGTAGTCTCTATTGTGTTTGCAAGAAATTTTGACAGACGGACCAATGGACACAAGTGACAGCAATATAAACATCCATATTTTTATGTGGCTTTAAATAATAAAACTTCTGTCAAAATAAACCATTTATTCCTCCAACATTTTGTGTGTCTAAAAAAAGACTTCCTCAGGGAGTCCAAAGCCAAAACAAGCATTTACTTCTTTGCAGTGCGTTCTTTGAACTACTTCTGGTCACTTCTGGTCACGCTCCCCAGCCAAAACTGCACATGTCACACATTGTCTGACACTATTATTTCTTATACTTTGCGTGTCGCTACTGTTTAAATGTAAAATGACGCATTTTCTTCCAACCGGAAATGACGTATGACGTTAAACATTCATTACGTATTTCGAATTACTGCTCTAATTGTGCATCTATTTTGACCGTAATTTTTATTTTGTTCATTACTTTAAACCAATGACTAAAAGATAGCACTTTATAAAATTTCAGATTTTGACTTTTGTCGCTGACTTTTTTTGTTTTAATTTTAGCGTTTTTTTCAACTTCTACAATTTTATTTCAATCGGTCTAAAAATTTAATAGAAGATAAGCATTTTGATTCCTGACAAACATCTATTTTCAAAATTTCGATATCACTTCCGGTTTTGACGTCATTCGCCTCTAAACCTAAAATTTCAACTTCCGGAATTTTATAGGTATTTGAAAAATTCTTTTTGAAATTAGTTAAAATTGTCCCTATAACAATTTTGGAATGAAAAAATTTGAACCGGAAGTAACGTGTTAGACGCCATCTTGATGTGACCAATTTTTATAAAAATCGATATTAAGCTTCAGGGGTAAATCTGATTTGTATGATTTTGGTGTCTAAAGAATCTGCAATCGATTGCAAACAAAACTTAGGAATCCGATTTTTGAATTTTGGATTCGTATATTTTTTATTTCCAGTTTTATGTTTTCAGTAATTGTCAAAAATATTAAGGCTCATATCTAGTGACTTTGACCTTTGGTGACCTTGTGACCTGAACAAAAGTTGTTGCCCCCTACGAGATATATCCGATGATATCCTCACTTTTGTTGTGCATCGTTAACTTCCGGTTCTTCAGAATCACGATTTTTAACTTTGAAGAGATCTGTCACGTGACCTAATTAACATACGACAAATATTCTTATATATTCTTTGAGTGCATAAAATCTCCTTTTTGGTGACATATCACACTTGATATTTTGATCAAAATTGCAGGTTTAAAAATCGAAAATTTTGTACTGACTTCTATAGTAACTGTGCGTAAAATCACGGTGTCTATAATTTATCGACAGTCACCGTTGCCCTAAAAAAAAGTTTAACTACGAATATCTCATGATCTAATGATTGTAAAGACTTGAAATTTTGAACATTATTTAACAATGTACAGACAAATTAAAATTTTTGAAGTGGGCGTGGCACATCCGGTGGGCATTTACCTTTACCTGAAATATTTGCAATTGGTATAACTCTCATAGTTTTCAATTGTCACCCTAGAAATTTTGCATGAAAATAGATCACTGCTTAGAACAATTTGTGATAAGATTACAGTTGTTTGTATTCTTTACTTTAAAAAAGGGAATAGGTTTAACAATTTTATAAATTTTCATTTTTGATCTTTAACATGAATGACCTTGACCTTTGCATGGTCAAAGGTCATTGACTAAGGATGACCATTCTTACTTTGATCTTTTATGTCCGATATATACTTCCGGTTTTGCAGACGTCCGAAAACAGCAATTTTCGAAACTTCAAAGGCTCATATTACTTTTATTTAACCTTTGTTGACCTTTTGACCTGAACAAAGGTTGTTGCCCATTACGAGATATATCCGATAATATTTTCACTTTTGTCGTGCTCCGTTAACTTCCGGTTCTACAGCCAATTGAAAATCGCGATTTTTAACTTTAAAAAAAGGTCTATCACGTGACCTAATTTACATAAGCGAAAATTTATCTTTTGTTCTTATTACACGCAATCTATTCTTTCAAATGATATATAACACTTGTTATTTTGATTAAAATTGAATTTGAAAATTTTGTATTGACTTCTATAGTAACTTTGCGTAATTTTAACGGTTTCTATAATCCACCGACAGTCACCGTTGCCTTAAAAAAACTTTTAACTACGAATATCTCATGATCTAATGATTGTAAACACTTGACATTTTGAACATTATTTGACATTGACATTGACATTATTACAGACAACACAAAATTTTTGCAGTGGGCGTGGCAAATCAGGGTTACTTTTACCTTTACCTTAAATAATTCAAATTGTTATAACTCGAAAAGTTTGCATTTTTCACCATCGAAATTTTACAAAAAATGAAAGCACTATTTGGGACAATATCTGATAGAGTTACATTTTGTTTAGGCCTTTTACTTTAAAAAAGGGAATAGGATTTACAATTTATAAAATTTTGATATTTTGACCATTTACATGCATAATCTTGGTCTTTAGAAGGTCAAAGGTTATTGATCTACGATGTCCATTCATACTTTTATCTTTGATGTCCGACATATATTTTCGCTTTTACAAACGTCCCAAAACAGCAATTTTCAACACTTTTAAGGCTTAAATTCTCTTTTATTTGACCTCTGTTGACCTCTTGGCCGAAACGCAAATTATTGTACCTTTCCAAAAATATTTTCATTTTTGTTGTGCGAATTGAACTTTTAACTTTACAGCTATTTGAAAATTCGACTTTTTACTACTGAATGTTAACACCTTTTAGTACCGAATGGTATCAAATTCATGCGTCTTTTCACTACCGAACGGTAAACGGTTTAAACGATTTTTTCTACTATTGAACGTTTACATGCTTTTCTTTCCGGTAAGAAATCCCATTGTGACTTTAAAATGCAACGTTTTATCGATGTATCAGGTTGGATGCGCACTGCTTCGGTTCCGTTATAACGGTTCTAGTTTTAATTGTGTTGGTTTTGGACTACCTGTGTGTTTTTAGTCACGAAACGATGAATAAATGGTTTATTTTGACAGAAGTTTGATTATTTAAAGCCTCATATTTTTATCTGTCCTAGCATCATAGTTTTTTACAACTGAGATCACCATTAATTATCTTCATGATTGGTTCTGTTCAATTCTCATTTTTATTTGGAATTTACATATGGGTGTACAAAAGCCAATTTAATTGATAGTTTATACTTACATCACCAGTTTGAGGTGCTTCACTTAAACTGTCATCAATATATACAGCTATACTCTTAACATTTTCAGCATCAAGTAATGTGACTGATTTCACTTCAACATCATCTTCAGAATCAGCAAGCAAATCTATTACAAATTCTGGTGCAGTTCCAGCATTGTATGTAGCAGGGTTATCTCCGGGTCTAAGATCTTCTACATCACTTACACCAGCAGAAGTAATGCTTCTTGTAGGAATATAAGCTGGATCACTCATACCTTCTTCATCAGTACAGATACCTTAAAATAGATGGTAAATGTTTTAGAATATTGGTCTAAAAAGGTAAACTAAAGTGAAGACAAAAAGAGATCATGAACTACTTTGACAACTACTATTGGTATTTAAAGATAGACAAAGATTATTAAACTTCACTCATTAAGTAGCCTACATAATATAAAAACATATAATTCTCACTTGTGCCAGTTGTGGTTATTCCAGGTAATGGGTGAGTTTCTGAAATGGAAGAAAAATCTATGTACTATTATCAAAATTATTCATTTGTACCTCATATACAAAATTTCTTTAAATATTGTTAACAGAATTGTCACCTACAATTTAAAAGAAATGTAAACTGCAATTACCTTCAAAACAGGCATGGATTTTCAATTTAATTTCAACTGGATTGTCTGGATTATCAGGTATAACAAGAATTTTGATTTTGGATGTATCAACTCCATCAGGTAATACTTTCTTTGTTAATGTCTAAAACACAGTTCAGAGAATTAATAACTCATCACCAACAAGATAAAAACATAACAACAACAACAATATAAAAAACAATAATATTCATATACATAATCCTTTTGAGTATCATCATATACAAACACTTTTATTGACTTAACATTATCAGTATTAATAGCTTCAACATCACTAAGAGGAACTGGATTATCATCTGGTGACAGGCGGACTGTAATGTTAACTCCCTCACTTGGTACATTAGGAATCTTATAAGGAGTTGATGAAGTTGGTCTTAAGTTCTCAGGATTATCTGATGATGGGGAGTCAGCTGGTTGCTGTAGATAACTAGCAGGAAGTAATTGTGGGTTTTCCATTCCAGCGACCTTGGTACATGGTGCTATAAAAGAAATTAATAGACATGATTATTGCAAATTACCAACTACTATAACTACTAACAACTACCTAGTTTGAGATATCAGATTAAGCTTGAAGCAAACATAAATTGGTCATCAACCAACCAACCATGATTATTGCAGCCATGATAAACAACTCTTCAACTTATAGCATATTGAATGTTATTGCAGATATTGATCATCTTAAAACCATAAGCTTACTTGATGTAGTTCCAGGACCAACTGTAGTGCCAACAGTAGTTGAAACACCAGGTCCAGTAGTTTCTGAAATGAAATAATAGAGAACAGATATAAACTAAAACAATCAACACCAAATTATACAAGAGAAATTCTGTTGTTAGTGCTCTTATGGGACTTTGTAATTTCAAAATGAATTCCCATAAAAAAAATTTAGACAATGCAATAGATACAAAAAATACAACTTGAACATTTTACTTACCTACAAAACAGGCTTTAACTTCTAATGCACCAGTAGTGGTAACTGGTAAATTATTACCTACTGGAGTTAATGTAATTTTAACCTTATCACCTCGAACATCATTAGGGAAAATAACACTAGCTATATTTCCAACAACAGTCTGTAATAATTCAGTCAAAAGATTTAGTAAATAAACAGTTACAAAAGGTGTAATAATCCTCTCAAACAAAATGCAATCATACTGTTATTAAAAACTTTATTATAATATAAAATAATAAATGATACATGTTAAAACTTACTTCAGTTACGCTATCACCAGTCTTTTCAGTATCATCAGAAGCAATTGGTGTAACAGTAATTGAAGCAACATTTGTTACAGGAACAGTTACACTTCCAATTTCAACTTCACTGTTAGATGTTGGTGTCAGATTTATTACAATTTCTGGGATCTGTCCAGCAGGGAAAGATGCACCACCATCTCTAATTTGAGTTACGTCAACACTAGGTGATGTAGGTGAAGTGATACTTGAATCAGGTATTATTTGTGCATCTTTCATACCATCTGTTTCAGTACATTCTGTCAAATACAATTATGAAATGTTAATGGGGCAGTATGGCAAAATATCATGATGATATAGAAATATATGTTCTAAGTGTAGTGTACATATCAAATTTATATTTCTTATGAAAATAATTTACCTGATGTTCCAGATGTTGTAGGTACTAATGGTGGTGTTGGTTGTGGTTCTTCTGTTGCTGATGTTTCAGATGGTCCTTGTGTTTCTATCAATAGATAAAGAATATGAAATGGCAGAACTGAAAAATGGGTGACCAGTAAAACATGAATTCATGCATTATCATCTTTGAACAAGATATCTATACATTTGCATTTAAATGTGATCAAAACAATATTTTGAAGTAAATCTTCAAGTGGACATAAATAAAACTTTCTTCAGTAAATTGAAACTAAGTCAATATGAATCGATCATTTCAGCAAAAATATTCACAAAATATTACCTTCAAAACAGGCATGGATTTTCAATTTAATTTCAACTGGATTGTCTGGATTATCAGTAATACTTTCTTTGTTAATGTCTAAAACACAGTTCAGAGAATTAATAACTCATCACCAACAAGATAAAAACATAACAACAACAACAATATAAAAAACAATAATATTCATAAAACAAAACAACTTACAGAGCCAGTTACTTCTTCTATTGGTACATAATCCTTTTGAGTATCATCATATACAAACACTTTTATTGACTTAACATTATCAGTATTAATAGCTTCAACATCACTAAGAGGAACAGGATTACCATCTGGTGACAGGCGGACTGTAATGTTAACTCCCTCACTTGGTACATTAGGAATATTATAAGGAGTTGATGAAGTTGGTCTTAAGTTCTCAGGATTATCTGATGATGGTGAGTCAGCAGGTTGCTGTAGATAACTAGCAGGAAGTAATTGTGGTTTGTCCATTCCAGCGACTCTCTCGCATGGTGCTGTAAAAGATTTTGAAAATAATACTTTATCTTCAGAAGAACCCATTTTGAAATCTGATACAATGTAACTATAACTCTGTTTTTAATTTTGTAACTGCCTCTTACGGCAATATTTACTACAACTTATAATAAATACAAAAAACAGACATTTTTGGCATCATTACTTTACGAATTTTCTTTAATGAAATCACTAAATAACTATAAAATAAAAATGAAACATGTAACATGCAAATATCACAATAGAATTTATTCAGTTGAGTCCTGGGTTCAATTTAATCATCACAGTTTGCGAGATCTATATTAGCCAAACTTAACTCTCTATAACCTTAAGGAATTGCATAATGGACATAATTAATCTAAACTAGAATACTGTCAACTGCTATAAGGTGTGAATCAATATTTAACTTGATTGGCTAAAAAGTGAAATTGGGTGTGATAATTGCTAATCAAATTTTCTAAATTGAACAAAATTTTCTCCAAAAATATTCTATAGTTCATGGCTTAATTTATGTCAACTTGTCAATTATATTTATCTGCTGTCAAATCAATTATTATCATAGTCATCAAACTTCGTTGATTTGTTCTTAGATCAATATACATAGGACTATGAATTTATGGTTTCAAATTATTTTCTTAAAATTATTTTTATCACATCATACTCTTTTTTTATACACTCAGATTTTCATGATTATCAATGAGTTTATTTGTCATTTTATATATTTGAAATGATTAACTGCAATGTAAGAACCTATAATTCCTAATTCTTTTCCTTACTATTTCTACAGTTTTTATTAACTGAATTACCTGGTTATTATCAAACCATTGTCCCCTTAAATCTAATGTTACACTTCATAGTTTTATGGTGTTTCATTCTTAATGAGGACATGAATCTGTCAAGTATCTAAAAATCAATTTAGCAATATAGTTCCAATGATATTCATGAATCCATAGTTATAACACTATTAATCTATTTACATCAAAAGTTAATTTCTTTATAAATTAAATATTTTCATCATCTTGGTTACGATATTGAACCGTCAGTGCTTGGCTTGACAACTATGAATGTTTTTATTGAAAACTAAGTCAACTAACCTTGACCTTTGACCTTATTGTTCCAATAACCAATCATTGATTAGCTCATTTGTCAAAACCACTCTAAGCTAATTATTGGCATGCCGCCATTATGTAAACAAGCAACGCTTCCTAAGACTGAATTTTATTCATAAAATAAACCTCTCCAAACAATCTTTGCCTAGCTTTTGACCACCACAAAAATAAAATGTTATCCATACTAATTTCTGAAGAGTGTGCAAAAAACAAAGCAAGATATTTCTATACTTTGCCACTTTTGGTATATTCAAAGACACAAAATTATTTATTAAAAATCACGTCTGATGAAATGAAACTGCAGCCTCTACCAGAATACGATTATAAACTTACATGGAGTAGTTGCAGGTGAAGCTGTACTTGGTGCAAGTGTTGGTGATAATCCTGTTCCAAGGGTCTCTATAACAATGATTTAAAAATAACATTTACACCACATTTCAATAATATATAAACAGTTACAATGATGATAGAATTAATCTCAAAGCCCTTTTTCTAATATTAGATATGTTTCATCTTCCTTTTCCTTTCCTAATACAATGAGGGAATAATAACAATGATAATAAGCCTAGAATTCTTTTCAATACTGTAGAAGAATGTCCAAAAGGCTTGTGTGCTCTATCTAGTGGCAAGTGATAGAGATAGTTAAATGGTATTGGGTAACTATTTTCTTAATTAAGCTGATGCTTTTTGAAGCACCTTGCTTCAGCAGTCTAAAGGTGAAAAACTGGTAAATCTAAGATATTTTGGGTTTCTTAAAAAGAGATAATTGAAATTTCTTACCTTCAAAACAAGCTAGAACACTGAGTTGAAATGAAACTGGATTGCCTAAATCACTTCCATTAACTTCAACCTTTATTCTACCTGCATTTGTATCAGCTGGGAATTCAATCTTTGGATTTCCATTTTTTCCAGAAGGATCAGACTAGAATATAAATATGTTAGGAATACATTCTACTCTTTGAAAAATATTTCCTATGAAAACTTCTCTCATGGAACATTAAAGAAGTTGGGAATGTATTTGACAAGTTTATAATTTTAGTTTTTGGAAGATAAAACAATAAGCAAGCTGCTTTTAATATATACAATTTCATAAAGATCTTCTCAAGAAAAAAAAAGTTTCTTCACTTATGAAATTCATTCTATAACACTAAACTAGATACAAATTATATTTCTTACTTCACTGGATTGTGGCAATTCTGTCGAATCTCCATTTGTATCAACTGAAAACACTTTAAAGGATTGGACATTTACTGCACCAACAAGTTCCACAGATTTAAGTTCAACAGAATCATCACTTGTTGGTGTTAAATCTAGCACTATTGATGGTGTTGAGCCAGCTGGAAATGTTGCTGGTTCTTGTCCTGATCCTGGTCTAAGATTCTCCTTTACTTCATCATTAATTCCTACTGCTGTGATACTTGATGATGGTATAACTTGTGGATTGTCCATACCATTCAATGACACGCATTGTTCTACAAATATATTAAATTTCATTATGAACTAGTGTACATGTATTCATTAAACATTTTCTTCTTTTCCAGTTCTTAATTCTTCCTGTCACTCAAAAACTATAATATCAAATCAAACTTAAAATATTAAAAAACAAATGAAAAGTCATAACTTACCTTCAGTGCTACCTCCAGTAGTTGGTGGTTGTGTTGGAGCAATTGGTGGTGTTTCAACTGGGCCTTCAGTTGCTGATGTTCCAGCAGGTAATTGATGAGTTTCTGAAACAATATGAAATATCACATTGATTATATGAAAAATATGTGTTTCTAAGCAGTTTTTTTTCTACAAGTATAAATAGAAAAAAATTGTCCTCTTACTCAAGCAAAAGAGACTACTATGTTCAGCAGAAACAAAATGTTGCAAATTACTTTATTGTATATTCTAAATCAATTACCTTCGAAACAAGCCTTGACTTCAACTTTAACTGTAATATTTTCAGTTGCACTGATAGGGGTGACCTCAATTCTAATCTTAGTAACAAGAACTCCACTTGGATATGTTAAGATACCAGTTGTACTTTCAGGCTGTAAACATCAATTTAAAGATTTAATTTAAAGATAGTAGTGACACATTGTACCATGCATCAATTCAATGAGCAGACATCTCCATGGCAACACAAAGACAGCAGGGAAGAAATTATTCTGGATTCAGTTTCAGAATGTTTTTTGTTTTTTAGGATCATTTGACACAGGAGAAAAAAAGATAAAAGCATGTACCTGTCCTGAAGTTGTTGGAATAGGTTCATACTGTTGAGTATCATTATTAAACCTTAGAACACGAACAGATTGTACATTAGCTTTTACTGGTAGAGAAATTTCAGCTAAATCAACTGGTTTATCATCAGATACAGTGATATCTATTGCAGTGGGTTCTGCAGATGCAGGAACATTAAATGGTGGAGTATTTCCAGGTCTCAGATTTTCTGAATCATCAGTTAATCCAGATTCTTGTGGTTGCTTAAGGAAATCTGAAGGTATGATCGTTGGATCTTCCATACCATTACTCTCTGCACAAGGTTCTGAAAATAAGTCAAGTGAAAAGTTCTATATCTAAGCCTTGTTAGTATTTACAATATGTGTAGGTGCAATAGTAATACCAAATGATTTCTTAATTAAAGAAATAAGTAAAACATACACTGAATTGAACTGAAATTTGGTAATGATAAACTAAATTTTTCCATTTTTTTCACTTCTGAAGAGCTGAAAACTAACTTTCATAATACCCTAAAATCCCCTTGACTATGATTTATAGAATGATAGAAAAACTACTTACCAGGTGTTGTTGGTGCAGGTGTAGTCGTACCTGAAATAAATACATGACTTGCTTAGAAATTACCAATATAAAAGGTTTTGGTAGTGTTAATATCACACATAATAAATTCTGCTGAATATACTCCGACAGAAAGTGAAATATTTATCAAATTCAATATAGCGTAAATTTTTTATACAGAGAAAAATGATATATCTTTTGTATGATGCAATGAATGTATTCTGAAATCAGTTTATCTACTGATATAAAGTAGTTTATAAACTTGTATTTCAGATTTTATCATACAATGCAGAAAAATGAAAAGTGCAATTCAACATCATAGTTAAAAGAATAGCACATGAAATTATAAAGGTACTAAAAGCTTTTCTGTTGATAATATGTGTTATATATTGCAGTGTATTGAAACACTTAATTCTAGTTTTGTGAATAATGGGTACCAATTAAGTGGCAGTTAAAGTAAGGACTATAAATAAATCAAAAATACAATTTGACGTAATTGCCCACAGGTTTAATGTTTTATAAATATTAAGCCCACATTAAAAGAGAAATGCACATTTATGTCATTCATATGAATTAAAAGTATTAGATTTTTTTCAGTGAAATATAGTCACTTTGTGACAAATTCAAATTCTTTATAAGCCTAATCACAAAGAAACTGTTCTTTCATGTGAATGTTATCAATGTGACTTAAAAAACACAACTAGTATTCTTACTAGGCCAAAGAATACTCTACTTACAATCTCTTTCATCTTCATTATCACCACAGTCATCCTTACCATCACATACTTTATCAACACTAATACAGGTCATAGTATTGATACAAAAATATTGATCATCACTACATGGTGCACTAGTAGTGGCTGAAAAACACCAATTTAGGTTCACCCACATGGTAAATAGGGTACAGGTGTTTAATATGTAAATATTTGAAAAAACTTTGAACAGTAAAAATGTTAAAAATATCTGAATTTTGGTATACTTCTTGCAGTATCTAAGTTTTCTTACAAGAATAAGTGTATCAACAGCTAATCAAGTTTATTAGTTGTATGTCTTCAAAAACAAATTTGACATGAGAATAAGATTCCTGTTGGACTTCAACTAGAAATATATATATGTTTTAAAACCATAATCATTTCTAGCTGCAATGTCATTTTCAATTTCTTGTTTTAAAGTATGTTACATGACAATACTTCTTGAATACAAACTCCTTAGGATCTAGGAAAGAAAGGCAAATATTTCCACAATTTCCCTCCACTAAATTTACCACAGAAGCATTGCCTCTTAATTCTAAAGAAAATCCCACATTTAACTTCATTCACTATATATTTTGTTTAAATTACAGATTGCAAATCTGAATGTTTTTTTCTACAGGTGATTCCAATGTATAGAATTAAAAAGTAGAAAAGTCCAAAAAGTCCAAAATAGATAATAAAATTTGGCTTGAATGAAGTCAGTGTCAGTTGGTAACAGAATATTGCCCACTAAATTATCAAATTTTTCCTTACTTGGTGCTTCAGTAGTAGTGCTTGTTGTAGTTACTATAAAAAATATTAAATTCTAGTGTAAATTATGAGATGAAAATTAAAAAAATAGCCAGTCTAAACACATGTTTTTTTATGCAGATCAAAGCATTGATGTCATAGAAAAGGGCATCATAATTTTCATCTTACATGGTCAAAAGTAACATGAAATATGGTAAAGATCAGCAAGGGCAAACACACTTAATATAACATTTGATATAAAAACAGATAAAATAACAGACTGATAGATTAAAATTTCACACAATAGCCAATATAATCTATTGATAATTGAGCAATGTCTTGTTTCAGTTCTGAAAATATCAGCTTCAGCCTCAGACTTGTATTTACTTTATAGTCTATAAACTACAACATCTTATTTTCTCTACTTACCACATGTAGGCATGTATTCATCTTCACATTCACCATTTACTTCTTGTCCACAATCACAGTTTCCATCACATGTCATATTCATTGATATACAGAACATTCTCTTTGTACAATAGAATTCTTCTGTTGAACAAGGTTCTGTTATAGCTGTAGTTGTAGCTGAAAGAAGACAAAGAAAAATCCTTTAAAAGATCTGTTGGCATGGATTGTTTTGACCAAATGGTACCTGAGTCAGTGAGTGATGAAACCTGGTTTGCAATCAACTGACTGAGCTACAGACTGTATAGCTATTGGACAGAATACTTAGTCTTAAAAGGTAACAGTCTGTCTGCTTTGGTCGCATGAAAGGTGGAAAAACAAATTGAAAAACAGAAAATTCCCAATGTCATCTTGTCATCAACGAAAGTTGATATCTGAATCAAACACAAAATAGAAAAGATTTATTTCTAAAAATGATTAGAACTCACGTTGTCCGGGTGTTGTTCCTTCTGAAAGAGCAAAAAATAAATCAAAATAAAACAAATAATCACTGGAATTGACCACAGTCAATTTTAATCTTTGCCATTTATTTCAGTCTAAAACAAGTTTTATATCACAATAACAAATACCAGCATGGTAAAAAACAACTGATTTTCGTAATGGTTCTATTTCTAATTTTAGCTTTTAGAAAACCTATTAACAAAAAGATTTGATATGGTATGAAATCTCACTAAGACATTAAACATTTGAACATACCAGAAGTGACTTCAGGAGTAGTTGTTTCTCCAGGAAGTGTAGTTGGTGGTGAGATTGTGGTTCCTGCAAAACAATGTTATATATTATCATCTGCAATAAAAACTTTCATTTCATATAGAATATTCTTCCAGTCAACTGCCTGCTCCCATTCAGTGAGTTTGCTTAATTTGCTCGTATGACATTAGTAATTTTTTTAAAAAGGTTGTATTAAAGTTGTCTGGTGATTATTGTTAATCTAAAACATTAGTATAAGCTTTAATCAATTTAGTATAGGGCCTTAAGTCACTAATTATATTTTCATACCAGTTTTACAAAATAAGACTCATGGATATGACTCAATATTTCAAATCAAAAACACTAAAGTAATTGTCAAGTTACCTCCTTCATAACAGGCAACCATTGAAACATTCCAAACACTAACGTTTGTAGCATTACTTTCTGGAGTGATAAATATACGGATTTTGCTCACTTCAAATCCACCTGGTGTACTGTATGTAGTAACATAATCTTTGTTTGGTTTAGGGTTTCTTGAATCCTGTTAATACATTATTTCATCAGAATAAGGCTTCATAATATGAGTTTAATACTTATCCTGACATTATAGGATGTATGAAACTGACATTAAAAATAAATACCACTATCTAAATACAATAAAAGAAAACAACTGCTACTATTTGATACAGATTAATTAGTTATATACAGTTTGACAATCTGAAAGATTTTACTGCTAATTCTTACAAGAATTCTTAAAATAATAGTAGAATTAAACTTACTGGTTTGATAAGAGCACCTTCGGGATTGGTGTATTCAATTGTAACAACAGCAGCATTTCTGACAGAAATACGGACATCAAATACTGTCCATGGTGTATCTGGTAGGGTGTTAACATCAAATTCCAAAGTAATCACTGATCCTGATGTAACAGTAGGGTTCCATATATCTGATACTCCTGAAGCTTGTCTTAATGCTGATGTGACAACAGATTGGACTGTATCATTAATACGTCCAGTAACTTGTAAATCACTTGTGGTAGCATCCAATTCAATCTTCTCACAGGGTGCAGCTAAAAACAAAGTAACAGAATTATTTGATTTTCTGATATACATGACACTTTAAAGAAGAACATATTATAATCATAATAGTGGCCACTTGAAATAGGAATAAAGAAGGTCTGATAATTTGATCAAATTCAAACTAGATATTTTTATAAGGAGCAAAATTTCATATTGTTTAGTTTCTAAAATAGCACTTTTTAAGCCAAAAAATAGGATTCCTGAAAGTAAACTTACTTGTAGAGGCACCAGATGGGGTTCCTAAAAACAAAAGGTTTAGATATTATCAATCATTTCATATGACATTAGTTTAGTCAAATATTTGTCAAACTATTGAATATCTTATAATTTCCTGTATAAAATACTCTTATTCATACTTGGACTTTCACTTCACAGGGTATATGTGATGTAGCAATCAAACACATGGTTTTCACATAGACAGACAAAAATTTGCATGTTCCAGAAATCATTTGAGCAGATGGAACTTCTTCTATCAAACATTAAAAGAATTCACAATAATATTGAAAATATTCATACCACAGTTGATTTCATCAGTTCCTTCACCACAATCATCATGTCCATCACACAATAGTTGTTTAGCAATACATTGTAGTGGAGTTAGAGAACACATAAATTCAGTGTCCTTACATTCTATAATAATAATAAAAACAAAATATCAATAATAATAACATTAATAGTTAAAATAATAAGCAATATTAGTAGAGTTAAACAACACATAACATTCTATAATAATAATAAGAAGAAAAATAATAATAATAATGACAATAATAATAATAAAGTAATAATAATTATAACATAATATAATTATTGTCGTTTTGACCAAAGGTACAAACTAAATAATATATATGATTTCTACTTACGTTTACAATTAAATTCATCAGAGAAATCTTGGCAATCATTGTGTCCATCACATTTAAATGCCATGGGTACACATCTTCCGTTATTACATGTAAATTCTTCTTCACTACATGTTCTAGTTTCACCTATAATATACAAATGAATGATAATGAAACCATTAGGATTAATAGAGTTACACAGAGAAAAAAGTAGTAAATAAAATAAGTAAAAATGTTCTCCAGGAAATTGCTATTTTTATTGTGTAATAAGTAAGATTATTATATAGAATAGAAATATCTGAGTAAAAATGAAACAAAAAAAAATGTTGATAAATATAAGAAATAATCAAGTACATACCACAATTGTATTCATCACTACCATCTTTGCAATTATTGATGCCATTACATAATTCTGTCATAGCAATACATTGTCCATCAACAACACATGTAAATTCATTTTCTAAACATTCTTTGGCTGAAATTGGTTGCATTGATAGGATTAGCAATGAAAAATTGTAACAATAGATTCCTTAATTTAAAACTGAGAAATTAGTTTGCCAATTAGGTGAACTGTTAATCATGACCCTACAGTATTTACTTAATCTTTCATGTTCACAAATCTGAGCATCAATATACAGTCCATTCTATTTGTAAGCTTTGTTATATTTTTATCATAAAATTTCTATTTAACTTCTTTACATTTATTTGAAATCAAAAAAAACAAATTTCTATAGCAAGATAGTAAAAGTCCAGGTACAAACTAATTTAATAACAATTTGATTACAATACACAAAACCTCTGACATCAGATCTAAATATTCAATATTTCATAAATTTAACAAATTCAGATTAAATCTGCTACTAGTGATGAATTGATTGAGCTCATTTAAGATAAAGAATTGAACCAGATTATAAGATGGTTGAGTTTATATTTATTGCAGAAAGAGTATATAGAATCTTCACTAGGTATCACAAGCACCATAAATTGTGAGTATCAAAAATATGTTTTATTTTTCTAAATTTTGGCAGTTGTTTATGCTGAATTCACTAAACATGAATAATATTGTGTGCCCCACTTCACTAAATCTGGTCTGATTCCCATGTCACAAATAAACAATAACAAGCAAAATAAAATATGCAGCAAAATAACAAAACATTTTGCAAAATCATATAGTTATTTGAATAACAGCATGAATAAAGATGCAGTTCTTAATCTCAAATCAAATAATTAAAAATAGCGTTCTCTAATATTAACTTTAGGAACAAAGCTTTCAATGGTGACTACTTTGTTACATTCAACTTAAATCTTGTCTATATAACCATTCTAAAAAATAGCATGATTTCCAAACCCAATCTAACTCTAACATTCAAACCAGGCCTGATGACTCGACAATATTCACTTCCATGAAAACACAGAATTTTTGTCACTTTTTTTAGCAGCCCTGATTTAATATGCACATTTGTAATGTCAATAGTTCTACAGTGACATTTGCATCAAATGTTGATAACCTATCTAGAAGCAACCCAATTTGTCATGAAACTCTTTTAAAACCATATGTTTTATTTAATCTTACCTTGTGTAGCTATACAATAAAATATTTTCAAAGGTTTAAAATATCTTGATAATAAGGTGTAACAATCAACTAAATACATTCTGATCAAAATACATATACATGCAAATCTTATATAGTTTGTTTTACTGTAAATGACTTTACTCATTCTACATCTGATATATTCATTGTAATCTTTACTATAGATGTTTGACTCTGACTGAATGAAGTCATAAAGAAACATTTCATTGTGTACTTACTGCAGTTGACCTCATCTGATCCATCTCGGCAATTAAAGATACCATTGCATAGATACTTCTTCTCAACACAAAGTCCATCATCAACACATTTAAATTCTTCAGCTGTACATTCTCGGCTACAATTACTACCATCACAACTAAACTGTCCATTTATACATGAACTGTAAACAAAATTAAAAGGTGAAAACTAATTAATTAGACTTAATGAAAAAAGTGCCATGATAAAAAAAAATTTAAACTATTTAACATTAGAAATGATGGATAAATATAGTCTGATACACACACAATTTTCATTAACTGAACCAAATTTAAATTGATACAATACGATTGTGACCATTGCATTAACTAAAAATACTGACTTACCAATTCATACATGATTGAACAATTTGTGATCCAGGTTCATATTTAACACCATCCAAGAAACATGGACAATCTGTTTGTGGCATACATTTGACTTCATTATTGGCAGTTACTAGAAGAAAACAATAACAATATCAATATTGAGTTCAAATAAACTATTTCCATTGTTAACCAATTTAAATAGCTAGAAAATATTATGCAGATAGAAGCAAAAACACTTTTTTCCTTTTGCACTAGAAATATATGTCTGTTTTACCTACTAATAAAAATAGAAAAATATTCTGCATCATAACACCTACCTTCTGTAACATATCCATCAGGACAAGAACAACCTTCCACACAGGACGTTTGGGTACAGAATGAACCATATTTGGTACCAAAGGGATCATCACATGTCTTAGGGCAAGGGGAACCACATGGTGTATATACACTACCATATTCACATTGAATTGCTGTCAAATAAGAAATAAATAAACATGAACAAAGATTCCATACTTTCAATCAACACAGATTCCTTCAACCATTCAACCAGTATCACTAGAACTTGTTTGTGTTTGGAATTCTTTGTGACTGAAATTCATGCAGCTAAATTTGGTGCTTTTATCTCTTGGAAAAACTGATGAGATGCAGACTTGCACATTGAAAACTTTTCCACAAACATCATGTCTTAGAAATAGTTTAAATTAAACACTTACGACAAAGTCTGTTGTGTCTCCATTTAGCTGGTTGACCAGCTCTATTACAGGCTTCAGCAAAATTACTGATAGCAGTACACAAACATTCACAATCACCTCCTCGGTCACAACTGAAGTACATATAACAAGCATGAATTATCTTAATGATATAAGTAAGGTATTAAAGTACTCCAAAAGGCTTGACAAAACTCAATCATGATTGGCCATGCTATCGATTACATCGATATAGAAACATCACAAAGTTAAACTGTTCAATCAAATTTGAAAACTTACCCGCATGCATCATACAAACATTCAGTGTAGTATTTTTGTACTTCATCAGCCAAAACATTTCGACAAGCCTCAAAGACAATACCCTTGGTAATTGTTTCACAAGAGCTTTCTGCCCACTTCTTTCTTGGACTGTAAGTTCCATTAACAGTCTAAAAACATCAAAAGTACTTCTAGATTAATCATTGATATATTGTATGTACATATAGAGCTGTTACAATTCGGCACTTTTCAAATACTTTGGTTTACAGGGGTATCCAGTTTATAGAGGATGTGCTTTGGAGAGGTTTCATTTTATTTTCATTATCACAAATACCACAGAATTTTTCAAAATAATAGTAAACTATGATTGTTTAATTTTTATTCTTTGACACATTGTGGTAATAGAGGGGTATATTACTGGTGTATGTAAATCTTAATGGTCAAGTATTATTTGACACCCACGGCAATAATGTACTTACCATACAAGCTTCCTGGAGAATAGCCTCTTCAACAACGTCACCACAAGTAGAGCCCTTCCAGGAATTACCAAATTCAATTTCGTTGGCAGCAACAATACCAGTGCTTGTTGTAAAGTCATCTTCACTATTTCCATTGTAATTACCACATAAACCTCGAACTTTGTCTTGCCATTTTTTAGTCAGTTGTACAGCAAATCGAGTTCCTAGTTAAATACAAATTATTTTTTGAATAAAAATGTCCATGTTGAACCATCCACAAACATGGAAAACATAAAAATACATCTTCTACCCAGATGTTAGCAAACATTGTTTTTATCTTAAATTAAATATTCATAGATATTGATGATCAACTATGGATACAACTAATTATCATTCATATATTCTCTTTTATTCAGTGATTAACATCATCTTTTGGGTTTTTTTTTTCATTAAACATTCATTTAACACGTTCATTGGTAAAAATTGTTTTGTAATGTTCTTACCTCCATCCCACATACAAGTGACTCCATCAAATGTTACAAATATGAAAACACCAGCTGGATAAAGTGTTATATCACCAAACTGTTGGAAACCTTGATCAGGAGTGTATGGTGTAGTACCAATAGTTATTGTTCCACCTTTAACCATACTTATTTTAACATCATTAACATTGATCTCAATGGATTTAGTACAAGCTACTCCAGTGGAGCCACATTGGATGTTCTGTACTTTAATGTCAAATGGAGATGAGCCATTGTTCAAACTTTGTAAGAAAGTGTAGCTACAGGTTCCTTGGAATTTGTATCTCTTTGAATCAAAGGTTTGATAATGTGGATCACCAGAAGCCCAACAGGTAGCTAAAACAAATCATAAAATTTTTAATTATTACAGATTATTTATCACTACTGCTGGTAATCATTTAATTTAACTTGCCAGTTATGTTTAAGTTAAGCTTCAATATGAAATGTCATTTAAGCCATTCTTAATGGTTTCTTACATTTCTCACAATATATATTTGTGAAAAAGAGTATAGTGAAAGCAGTATTTAGTCAGTTAGATATTTGTATACATATTACTGCCACAATAATTTATTGTAAAACTCACCAGTACAATCTATTTCAGCTGTAACAGTCCATTGTCCATTTTCACATCGCCTGTTTTAAAAAAAAAAACATTTATGTTAAAATGTCTTAGGACATGAGATAATAAAAATGAATTATAAAATACTGAACAAATAAAAATATGAGCCACAATTAAAATCATTTCTGCATGTGCAGAGAAAAAACTTCCTAGAATACATTTCTAGATCAGACACCATTAGGTATATGACAGCACTAGACAAAACCAAACCTTATGGGTATTATGTTAGTGAGCTTTTCAAAACTTGATACTTCCTGAATATAGACAAAACTTTTGATGAGCAAAGAATGCAGTTCAGCCATGTTGCATCTGAAAAATGTACTTACCTATCTTTACAGTTATAAGTCATTGTATCCATATGGTTAAACCATTGTCCCATATGGTAACAGGGGCAAGTGTTGGGAGAAATACATTTACCATCCTGAAAAAAAACAAGAGCAAATTAGAAACTCCATTACAAGTTTGTAAATACAGATATAATAATACTCAAGACCTCTTTCAGAGGGTCCACGTGTTTAATACTGCAGAACCATGAGGTATCATCATAAATGCTTACTAAAAACAAATACATGTAACGAAAAGCAGACCAGAAGATGTGAAAATCCCTGAAAAAAAAATGACAATCTTGGCTGTTTCAGGTATAAAATCTACTCACTTTATCTTCCCATTGGTTTTCAGGACAGTAACATCGTCTGGATGGAAGAGAACTTTGTTCAGCACAAGTTGTGTTACTTTCGAATTTGCCTGGACATTTGGTTCTGCAGGATGTGGGAACACTTTCAACTGTTTCTACACCAGCAGGACAAGATATTTCAGCACATTGAGAATCAACACATGACAAGGTAGCATTGGCACAAGTGCTGTAAGAAATGATTTCAACAAATATATATGAAATGCTTCACCAATCAATTCCTGTTTACTAAATTGCAGAGTTTAAATTCTGCTGGTTATTAACATTAGTCTTATTATATTTCCCACTGAACATCTATTAAACTCACAACATTTTTCTTGCATTCAGAAATGCTACAGAGACCCTGCTATTCTGAATATAATTATGAATCTACGTGAAACTTACCACTCTTGGCAACCTCTTTGTGTTGGTGTTCCTGGTACAGTAACAACATTATTAGCCATATCATAACAGGTACATTCAGCTAATTTAGCACAAGTATTTCCTGCACCCATATCATCAGTAAGCAAATCACTAGATGGACAGGAACAGCCTGGAACACATTGCTTCTCACACTTATGACCAAGGGCATAATCTCGACAAGCACTATTACAGATTTCTTTACAATGGCTGAATTGATAACCATTTGGACAATTGTTGATATGAGATCCTGGAATGGAAAATGAAATAAGTGGAGAAACTTTATATCTAATGACATGTAGACTTTGACCAATGAAGTGAATGTCAAGATAAGACATATTCAGTGAATCAAGGAATTGAGTATTCAGTGAATCAATGAAATGAGTATTCAGTGAACCAATGAAAAGAATATTCAGTGAATCAGTGAAATGAATATTCAGTGAATCAATGAAATGAATATTCAGTGAACCAATGAAATGAATATTCATTTAATCAATGAAATGAATATCCAGTGAACCAATGAAATAAATAGTCAGTGAACCAATGAAATGAATATTCATTTTCAGCATATTTAAATAAGAAAAAAAGTAAATCTCTACCCTGTAGCAATGTTAATAAAAGATTACATACCACATTTTGTATTTAAAGCTGCTTGGTTTGTCACTTGTTGTCCAGTAATACTACAATCACTCATTAAAGCAAAGACTACAGGACAAACATTGGAAGCATCACCAGATGTTTCTACCAAGTTTTTCAAACTATTCTTTCTTTCTGTTGGTATCTTTGAGCTACATGCACTTTCAATATACAGAGCTTCTATTGCGCTACTCTATAAAATAATAAATTGAAATATTTTATTTCCTGAACTTAACAACTAATTGGGATTTGATAAAAGAAATCCAAACATACAAGCCAGGGATGTTAGAATATAAATTCTCCTGCTGAGGTTATCATCACAATTTAAAAGAAAAATCAGATTGGCCTTAACTATCAAGATTGTCCTTTTAAAAGGAGCACATTTAGAGAAAACTCTGGTTATGAGTGAATATGGAGCAAATAAAATGAAGTGAAGTAAAATTGATATGCACTTAAACATGAGATAAATCCAATTCTTCCTTCGTAGCAGTCAAAATCAACTTGTATTCAAATTCAAAAACATATTCAAAAGAGTGCTAATTGTCATTAAAAAGAAGTACAAATTATATTTTAAAAGTAACTGTTTAACTGTTTTTTTAAAAGGTGCAAATTGTTTCAAAAAAAAAAGTTTTTATATTTTTCTAAAAATGATTGTGCTTATTCTTCTTTCTTATAAAATTGTGCTGATTTTTTGATATAAAAAGAGTGCTTATTGTTTGTTTTCTAAAAAGAGTGCTTATTTTTCTCTAAAAAAGAGTGCTTATTTTTTTCTTAAAAGGAGTGCTTATTGTTTTCTGTGCTTAATGTTTTCTAAAAAGAGTGCTTATTGTTTTCAAAAAAAAGTGCTGGTTTTTACTCAATAGGGAATTAAATATAGGAGTAAATTTTGCTTCAATAATATATAAGTTTTGAAATTATGAAAAAATTCTTATTTCACTTACAAGTGTATCACCCTACAAAATAACAAAAAATGGAATGTAACATTTGCTTGACTACACACTGGACAAACAGTCCAGCAAAGGTATCTATGCAAATTCAGGTATGATTTTAAAACAAATATTCTACTTGTTTTTACTAGATTTTTAAAAGTTGGTTTATGATATAAGAATTTTTGTCATTGAAATAGTTAGAAACTTACTTAACCACTTCTATCAACTATATTACCAAATATCACAGTTATAAAGTTAAGAAGTAATATATATATAGAACCTTAGAAGTTAAAGTGTTAATTTTTATCCCATTAATCCATATCACAATATGTATCGTATCGTATCATGACCATTGTATCTCAATATGTATTGTATGGTGGCATGATTGACAATACCCAGCACTAACTTACACTGTTCACTTTAGGAAGTAACAAAATTACCAAGTTGAGGCTTCATGTTAAAAACTCTCATGTTTTGATTCTGATGGTGTAATGGCACATGCATTGTTGAAAGCAACAACTTTAATCTAATTTCTATAAATTAGCTATTTGAAAACAATTCTTACCCATCAAATTTCTATAAATTAGCTATTTGAAAACAATTCTTACCAGTCTAATTTCTATAAATTAGCTATTTGAAAACAATTCTTACCTATCAAATTTCTATAAATTAGCTATTTGAAAACAATTCTTACCAGTCTAATTTCTATAAATTAGCTATTTGAAAACAATTCTTACCAGTCTAATTTCTATTAATTAGCTATTTGAAAACACCAGTAAAATTTCTATAAATTAGCTATT